GCGACAGAGCCGAAAAGTCGCGGCCGCGGGATGAAGTCACGGCCGCGGACCTTCCCTTCACCGCGGCCGCGGGACATGTCGCGGCCGCGGAGTGCGCGTTTTCAGCAGTTTAAAGTAGCAGATTTCTTTTATTTTGGGGGTCGTTTTTTTGAACGCTAGGTTTTGAAGTCCCTCAGTACTTGTCTCGAAAAACTCATACTTTTCTTGAGATTTGATCTTGTGATTCAATCTTGGAGAAAAAAACTCCAAGATTCGACTTGTGGATTCGGTTTGCTCTTGTTTCCGACATTGGATTTGTTAATCGTAAGCTTTCTTTTAGTTTTATTATTGATTGAATGGCTTTGATTATGATGTTTGCTGATGTTGAATGCATAATGAGTAACTAAACCCATTAGCTAGGGTTAGGGGAAGATCATTCCGGTTCGATTTCGTTTATATGCATGATAATTGCTCAATCCTCTCGAGTTGTGCTTAGCCTAGGGTTTTGATGTTTGATCACCATCTCAATCTAGTTAATCGATTTCATAACTACAAAGGGAGAAATCGTTCGATCTAGGCTCGTTAGGAGTAAGCTTGTTCGTAATAGTATTGCTTATGTGTTGATTGTCTCAAGAATTACTCGTTTATGTCTATCCTCTTGTTACGAAGAGTTATTGAGGATAGATCTCTAGATGAATAGTTTTGTGAGACCTTTAACTGAGCTTTTGATTGCTCGTTAAGTGCATTGAGAACCGGAATTGATTGACCCTGATACCCTAGATCCATTATAATTGATTGAGTTTGAACTTGAGATTCCTAGTTTCGTCTAGTTTTTCTTATTGCTTGTTCTTTAATTCGTAGTTAATTAATATTAAACCAAACCAATCGAATTTAAGTGTTTAGGACCCTTTTTTTTATTATTTGGTGTGATTGAATATACGTACAGAATACTCCGGCTAACCTTCCTCGTGATACGACCCGGTGTCGAATCTTTGGATTCTACTCCGGTTAAAATTATTTACAACAAATTGGCGCCGTTGCCGGGGAAGGTTTAGGTTTATTTTGTGCGCCTATTCATCTCGTTTTTAGTGTTTCTCTTGTTTCTTGTGATTTCTCTTGTTTCAGTTTCTCTCATGTTTTCTTTTTATTTGGTAGATATTAGTTCTTGTTTTATTTTGTTTTTATTTTGT